TTTAAACATATAATTATATTTTATATTTATAATAAATAATTTATATTATAACATAAAATTATTTTTAATTATTGATAATTATTTATAAAATATTAAAATTTAATTTATAAATAATTATAATAAATAAAAATTATATTAGATAAAATTAAAAAAATATTGAAAACTCTGCTTATCAAGAAAAATTTCTAAAAATACTATCTTGCAAAATAATCTTTTATATTTTATGTAAAAGATGATTTTTTATACTTTATATATAATGGTCGATTATCTTTAACAATAATTTTGTAAAGATTATTTTCTAATAAAAATATTTTTAACAATATTTTAAATAATAAAATAAGCACCAACCTTAAATATACCGAAAATCATGGAAATAACAAATCGAAACGAATAATAAAATGAATGTAGAGATTTTTTTTTAGATCTTCATAACTTTTTGATTTATTTATTTCATTTTTAATTTATATTAAAATTTAATTTTTAAATATTAATAATTATAAAATATAATTTATATGTTAAAAATACTTATTAATTACAGAATTTAATTATAATATAACTTAACGCTTCTATTGTAATTTTAAAATACTAGTTATCTAAAAATATTATACTAATTATAGCAGTGTTAGTTTTTAATTAAATGAAATCCTTAACAACCTATTTTTGATTTGTTATTTTACCATGTTAGGTAGGCGTAGGCAACAAAAAATGAGTGTGGAATTTTGCATTCACTAAATAAAATTTTAACGTAACAGTGACCCAATCTGAGTCTTGGCTTGGCACTTGCATTTTCCATCTGGTCCCTGCATGGTCTTCTTCAACCTCTGCGCACGTTAGCCAACACCTCTTCAACACACTGACACTCCCATTCCCAAATCCCTAATGCCATTGCCAACCCCCAATTCAGCCTCTCCCTAACCCCAATCGAGCTTGCTTCGCCCATTCGCCAAGCAGCAAGCTCCCACTTCCCATTCCAACGAACAACAACCACAATGATGGGCTCCCACAACCACTCCGTCGAGGACCACCCCCTCTCTGCGCCACCTCACCAAATGGAAAACCTCCTACTCCACGACGACCACGGCGTTGGCGGCGACGAAACGAAATCCTTCTCCACCAATTACCGCAGCGCCATGTCCACGCTCTCGGAATCTCACCACCCGCTCTCGCCGCCGATCGTCGCCGCCCCCGCCGAATCTGATCCCCTCCGATCCCCGCCGCACCTGCATTTCCCCGATTCGCCAAACCCTAACACCTCCTCCTCCTACATCGACCCTCCCTCCTACGCCGAAGCCGTGTTTGCCCCCTATGACGGCGAAACTAACGGCGTCGACCCTCCGTCTCCGCCGCTTTCCCTCTCCCGATCCCCCTCCTCGAGCGCGGAGTATTTAAATATCACCGTTTCGAACCCGGTCAAGGAGCAAGAGACCTCGAATTCGATTGTTCCGGGTAGTAACAGCTACGTGACCTATTTGATCACCACGAGGACCAACATTCCCGAATTCGGAGCCAACTCGGATTTCGGCGTCCGGCGAAGGTTCCGCGACGTGGTGACGCTGTCGGATCGCCTTGCGGAGGCGTACCGCGGCTTCTTCATCCCGCCGCGGCCGGACAAGAGCGTGGTGGAGAGCCAGGTGATGCAGAAGCAGGAGTTCGTGGAGCAGCGGCGTGTGGCGCTGGAGAAGTACCTGCGGCGGCTCGCGGCGCACCCGGTGATCAGGAAGAGTGACGAGTTGAGGGTGTTTTTGCAGGTGGAGGGGAGGCTCCCGCTGCCGGCGACGACCGACGTGGCGTCCCGGGTGCTGGACGGCGCGGCCAAGCTTCCCAGGCAGTTGATGGGGGAGAGTGTGCTTGCGCCGCACGAGGTTGTGCAGCCGGCGAGAGGGGGGAGGGATTTGTTGAGGCTGTTCAAGGAGTTGAGGCAATCGGTGGCCAATGATTGGGGAGGTTCCAGGCCCTCCGTTGTGGAGGAGGATAAGGAGTTCCTTGAAAAGAAGGAAAGGATTCATGAGCTTGAACAGCAGATCAATGGTGCATCTCAACAGGTGTTATTTGAGTTTTATGTTTTTAATGGTTCAATGTTGCCTTCAATTTCAGATCATAATGCTCTGTGCATAACTTGTTTGTTAGCGAGTTTATGGGTATTTGTAGTTAGTGTGAATTTTCCAATCACGTGACAATTTTGGTGCAGGCTGAATCACTTGTCAAAGCACAACAAGATATGGGAGAGACAATGGGTGAATTAGGGCTTGCATTTATTAAATTAACGAAATTTGAGAATGAAGAGGCTGTCTCGAACACTCAGAGGATACGGGCTGCTGACATGAAAGGTGTAGCAACTGCTGCTGTCAAAGCTAGTAGATTGTTTCGAGAGTTAAATGCTCAAACAGTGAAACATTTGGTATGCATGACAAATTTTTATTAATTTTTCAGCGATACATTTCTCAGAGTTATCTATTTTAAGCAACAATATATATCATTCTTCATTCTTCCTAAATAAAGGGCAACCCACTAAATTTTGATTATTTTGGAATTTATGCATAGCAGGATACACTTCACGAGTATCTTGGATTAATGTTGGCTGTTCATAGTGCATTCTCGGATCGCTCAAGTGCACTATTGACGGTGCAGACTCTTCTATCAGAATTGTCTTCTTTGCAGTCAAGAGCTGAAAAACTTGAAGCAGCATCATCTAAAATTTTTGGGGCTGACAAAACTAGGGTTCGGAAGTTGGAGGAGCTACAGGAAACTATTAGAGTTACTGAAGATGCCAAGAATGTTGCAATTAGAGAGTATGAGCGAATAAAGGTATGATTTAAGCATATTAGAATTTATTGGTTTCTTTGGGTAGATAGCTTGTCTTCAAACATCTGTATCCTGTATGCTTTGAGGATAGTCTGTGGTCCAAAATGGTATGCATGCTTCAAGCATATGTGATTCAATTGATGATGTTTCTCTTTCATGTGATCTATCGAAGTTGTGTTTTGTTCAACATCTTCTATATCCATCAAAGTTGGTTTTTTAGTCTTCATTTTTCATCAATTGTTTTTCTCTAGATATCTTGAAACTCCAGTGATTGGTTGTCTTACATTCTACTAGTATATCTTAATTGTTTGAGAATAGAGGTTCAGATCATTGTATTTGTATACCTAAGCGTGTTTGTGAATTTGTAGATTGAGCTCCTTATTTCCAATCCACAATGGAAAGATTTCCCAAGTGTTTAGATATTATGATTATTAGGTTTTATTAGTAAGATAAATCCACCTTGAGTAGAGTCTCCTTTCTCTTGTATTTAGCTCATCAGACTCGGTTGTTTTGTCTCTTCTCTATTTTCTGTGGTATCTCTTCTCAGTATCCAAGTTAGAATCTATTCTCTGATATTTGTTTTTGGTGACTCTCTTGTGCTCTTTTAATAGTCTTATTGTTCTTAATATTCCTTTCCTTTCTTGTCTCTATCTCTTTCCCTACCTAAACTCTATATTTATACTTTTCAGAGCCTCTACTATATTTAAACTATGTCAAAAACCACTCCCTAAAGCTTAAACTGTTTGGTAAAGGTACATGGATGTGTTTGATAAATCTAACTACGAGAATTGAAGAATATTCTGGTGAACACTGTTTTTCCCCAGTTTCTATTTCAGACAATGTTCCGTCTTCTGATTTTTGGATTTTGTCTTGACTGGCAGTGATTTGAGTAACTTCAGATGGGTATTTCTCCTGTGGTTTTGAGGCTTTCTGTCAAATGACCTATTTGGGTTTGCCTTTTCTCTTTCTATTATTGCTGATACTTTTGGACTTCTCTTGGTTCCTTCTTCTGGTGTTTCTGCTTAGGGTTTAGGGTTTAGTGGTTTTGGTGTGTTGGGTGCATCTCCAACATATTAATAGTGTTTTCCCCCTATTTCCCTCCTTTCCTCTCTTCAGTCTTCTGTTTGGCTGGTCCAACATTCTCCCAAATAAATTTCTGCCTTTTTCTTTTTGATTGCTGAACTGCTGTTTCGCTCGTTTGTAATTTAGTTATTGTTCTGTCTTTATTCAGAGCGTTTGGTGTCTCTTCCATCTTTGCATGACATGTTCGGTATTTGAAGTAAGATGTGAATAGGCTTTAGAATAGTTTATGTGGTTTAGTTTGTCAAGGATTTATTTTGTGATGATTCTGGACACCAGTAAAAGACCCCGTTTAGTGTTTGTAGATTCAGTAGGGGGTGGGTGGCATGATAGCTGACTTAATATTAATATAACATCAATGCATAATAATAGAGATTCTTATAATATATCAAATTTAGAGCCATACAAATGCATTAGCATAATAAAAATGCGGACACTAATGAAATATATAATACATAAAAAAATTTAGCTAAAAAAAAATGTGTTAGCACAAGCAAAATTCTCTTGCAATATTTTTAATTTAGCACAATAGAAATGTGGACATGCAGGCACTGTTGTGCCTTCCGCTAGTAATTAATATGGGGGAGGGCGTAAGTGAATAACTGATAAGGTTTAAAAGATAAAAGAAATTCTAAAAAGATAATAATAGTCAAAACAATGGAATTGAAAATGGTTTAAAATTAAAAAAAAAAACAATAATTTAAAAGAGGGAGGGGGGCATAATTGATTAATAAGGGGGCTAATTGCGTAATGGAAAAGATTCAAACATAAAAGATAACGTGATTCTGCATGCTCCTGCCACAATCTTGCTGCAAAATGCCTCTATCTTGAACCTGTGTTGCACCATGGAATTACATTCGCGAGGTTAAAAAACGCTAATGCTCTCCACAATTTGCCGCTATCACAGCCCTATTGACTACAAAGTTGTTATGATATTAGGAGTATTAGGTATTAGTCCTTTTGTTGGTGAGTCTCGGCTTGTACCAATTGCATAGTTGCGTGACCTAATTAGTATATAAATATGAGTTTTAGATTTGGGTGCTATAACCTATTACATCTATCAATCATATTTTTATTTATTTATTAGCCAGTCTCTTTTCATTCTTTACTAACCCTCTATCTGAAATTCTTAATAATAAGCTATGTGACTGATCTATTCAATCCCCCATCATCTAACATGTTAGCTTATGTTTCATGCTATCTGGTTTGGCCCTGCTGACAGCATCTTGTTTATAATTTTTACGTTTGGGTATACCACGTCTAAGTCCAATCCTAAAATATCACTTCAAATGTTGGCTTTTATTGATTTTGTCCCTGTCTAATTTCGTTATAAGATTTTATTTATTTATTTTTTTGCATGATGAATTTATTTTTAGTATACTTTGTATGAATCTGGATATTGGATGATGATGATGATGATGCCAATGCAGGAAAACAATAGGAGTGAACTTGAAAGGCTTGATAAAGAGAGGCAAGCTGACTTCTTAAACATGTTGAAAGGATTTGTAGTTAATCAGGTATTATATTTATCTGTTCTTGTTAAACGCCTTCATAAGTAGAAACTATATTTCCCTTTGATGGTTATCACTCTCTATATCTATATTCTACCCATCTGTAGTATTTACCAAAAAAGAAAAATAAACCTAGAGTAGAAATAATATGTGATCCAGATAGGAATTTTTAGAAGCAAGGTAACAAAGCTAATAAATTTTTAAGAACATAGTGGAATCTTTTGTTGAAGAAAATGTGTTTTTATTGCAAAAGGAATTAACCATGTTGTCTCTGCTGGTGTTTGCTCTGACAATAAAGTTGCCATCTTGTCCACACAAAATTTTGTCGTTTTATAGTCTCACCTTAGGTGGTTTGGGTGTGTGGAGAAGACCTGAAGACGCCCCAATAAGGAAAATAGATCAGATCAGATAGAGGCTAGCTAAGGGTAGACGGACACCGAGAAAAACTACATGAGAAACAATTAAGAAGAATTTAGAATTAAATAATTTGCTTATAGACATTTTTTACGACAGTACTTCATAGCATCATTTGATCTATGTAGTCAATCCCATCTAGTGAGAAAAAGGTTTGGCTCAGGTTCTTGTATTGTCCACACAATATATGAACACAATATTCTTCTACACATTAGTTAATCAATACCTACGGCTCTTGCTAATCTGATGAAGTCTATCTCTTTAAGATGTACAGCAGCATGTCATACTCATACAAGAATTTTGGTGCAGTCCCCTACCCACTGTGCATGCGATTCTGAGATGTGGCATCATTGTACTGAATATCAAACATAAATAATTTAATTTGTATATATAACTTACCCCAGCTCCAAGAAATGTATAATGTTCAAAACCAAACACGCATAACACAACCTAAGACTTCAAACCTAAATATGTCAAAGTTGATAAAGTTTAAGTGCTGAGGTTCTTCTTTCAGTGTTACCTTCTAAGCAACATCTAAGGAGATGTGGGTTTAAAAGTAGAAGTATCATATAATATCGCATGAAACCATCGAGGCTAGAGAATTTTTTCTCCTTTTCTGTTCATATTTCATTCTCCAATAATAACACACTCGTTCTATTCTTGAATTATGTTTTGTTGGTGCATTGATCTCTGTAGTCTGTAAGATGTTAAAATATTGAAAGCATGCTTGAGAAGCTAGAGACAAGATTCTAGTGTTCTATATGTCTATGCTTTTAAGAGTAGTTGTCTATCTTTAGTTGCGTTTATCTGCTGTTTTGTCCCCATGTAAGTAAGCCTCTTCGTGAATGAATAGGTGGGGTATGCTGAGAAAATAGCAAACGTCTGGACAAAAGTTGTTGAAGATACCCGTGGATATGTGGATGAAAGCACTTGATATGTGGCTGTAAATTAAATCTTTATTTTATTCATTGATGTGCCACTCCCTGGAAATACGTCTGTAGTCATGACAATAAACTAATGGAAGCTCTTTATGGGTTCTTAGGCTCTTTCTCGCATTTTATACCTCAGAGCATTTCTTTCACATCATTAAAAGCTTACTTGTTGTACATTACTTGCTATTTGTTCGATTCTTGCTGCTTTTCCGAGGTTTTTATTTGGTTGCATAATCTTTTCCCAGTTGTCTAAAGCCGATCATATCACCTAGTTGTGTTAAAATGACTTTACCAAAAAATATACTTCCTGCATATGAATTTAGGCACATTTAGTTTTCTTTGTTTTTGATGGGACGCTTCGCTTAGTAGAGTCTCTTGGGATGTTCTAAAGAGCAATTTACTTATAGGGACATTTCGTTGCGGTTAAATTATTTGTGCTTAACCATGACATGCTATTGTAGGCAAATAAAGCATTAAGCATGTAATTAGATATTCAATCTTTTAATTATTTGTATAAGAAAAATTATCTATTAGAAAATATTAGTTTTTAAAATGAATCTTTATCCTTCGGTAAGTTTATTTTCCTAAAACCTTTAATTTTTTATTTAAGATTTTTACGAATCAAATTAAATTTCCTTCTATTTAAAACACATTAACTAAGAGCAATTTTATCAGAAATATATATTTTTTAAAATTTTCTTTCTCCGAATTCTAATATCCCTTGTGAAATAAATATATATTTTTTACTATATCTTTATACTTTTATAATTGTTTCATATCTATCATAACACCTAAAGTATTTAAATAAAAATAATTTCCAAAATATTTAGATTGTTTCATATTCTAATCTTATCGCAATTCCTAAAATGTTTAGACAAAAAAAAAACTCCTAAAATATTAACGAGAAGTGAGAATACGAAAGTTGTAGAAAAAATAATGGACTAGGTTTAATTTTGTCTAATTTTAATAGTGAAAGTCTAAAAGACTTGCTCCAAAAAACTTTGAAAAATTAAAACTATACACGATTCAAATTAGTGACAAAAATTTGTAATTAAGCATAAATTTTATATACGACTGTTATTTTCTATTTCCTTTCCCCTTTTTGGTTTCATACAAGATTTTCCATCACTTTTTTTTTTTTTAATTTTTAATTTTTTAGAAAGGCCGAGGATATGAGGAGACAAAACATACATGCAGCTATGGCTGGGTTTTATCGTTGCTTTCACCTCCATCTATTTATTTATTTATTTATTTTTAAATTGATTTACATAAAATAATTAGTTTGGTAAAATTCAACAAGGCCTTACAGCCTTCATATTATACCATAAGTAAAAGGCTAGTTTGCTATGTACTTATCATATTAATCACAGCTTAAGTGTACTTGTTTTCAATGATGCGGATGTGGGATTGCTTACAATACCAAGTGCATTTTTAAGTGATTGACCAAAGCTTGAATATTCAGTAGCTATACATAAACACGGCAATGGTATCTTCGCTGAGACATGCATCTATGCTTACTATTTACAAGACAGTCTAATTTATGATATTCATAGCTTGAGGTGGAGACCACGGTTGAACTTGTCAACATATCAAAATCTTACTCCTCATTTTCAACATTAAGGGTCTATTTGATAGAGAAGAAGAAACAGATAGATACAAAATAGAGTAAAATTTGATTATTTGATTGAAGAGAAATACGTATGAAATAAGGTATATAAATAAAAAAGAGAAAATAGAAATAAATAAATAAAATAGAATAAAAAAGAATAAAATAGAAAATTAAAATACTTTTGAAAATATTTTTTCATTAATTATTTTCATTTTAATCAATTAAATACAAAATTATATAACTAAATAAATAATATTTTGAAATAAAATAAATAACTAATTAAAAGTAAGTAAATAATTCTAAAATAATTTTTTATATTAAAAACTAGTTAAAATAATAAATTTAAATTAATTAAATAAATTTAAAGTATATAAACAATTGAAAAATCGTATAACATTTTAAACTTTCTGGAATAAAAAAATTGTAATTGATTTCATAAACATTTTTGTAAGAAAACGTAATCGAATTAAACTTTTATTTAATTAATTAACATTTTCTGCCTGTTTTCAAACCACTAATATGTGTTTAAAAACTTGAAGAAACTAATTATGACAGTTTATGACAATTAGAACTATAAAAAATTCAATTAATGTCTATTTTATGGCGGTTCTAAAATCAGTAGTAAATAATCGTCAATAAATATGAAGAGAGTAGTTCCTCACACTATTTCTACGGATATAAACACAAAAAGGTGCGAAACTCACATCTCAAAACCCTAAACCCTAAATACAACTCAAATCAACCAAACAAACTTCTATTTTATTTCTTATCTATTTCTTCTCCTTCCATGTAATTTCTTTTACATCAAAGAGGGCTAACCGTTGCTTATTAAAAATAATGTTATTTGTATGGTAAATATATACATTTAATTATACTATAGGGAGTAAAAAAGGAAAACAAAAGAATAAAAATGATCTAATGAAAAGTAATGTTGTTCATATATTAAATTGTGCACTAAATTTCACTACAGGAAGAGAGAAAAAATGTTAAACATTATAAAATAGTAAAAAATTGTTGTAAGAATAAAATTATTTTTTCACAAAATATTTTTTACATTAATACTGTTTCATTGGAGGTAAAAATGGAATGGGATGGGTATGTGTTTCATTATTTTAATCTCCATTCCCATTCTCGTACCTTATTCGGCCTATATTCGTTATTGTTCCCATACGTGACAGATATGAAATTTGTGTCCCCATTGATAGTGAATTTGGGATGCATATTACAATGCATTAATTTAGGATGATTTGACATTTAATAGTATAAATAATTGATATATTACATAGGGATGGCAATGGGGCCCCATGGGGGCGGGTAATAGTAAACCCTCCCCCGCCCCGCTGAATGAAAATTGGCCCCATACCCACCCCATATCCGTGCGGGTATCCATTAAGCGGGTATCCATGAATTTCTTGAATACCCACAGGTATCCACGGATATCCATGGATATTTATAAAATTTTTAAGAAATTAAAAAAAATATATTACAAATAATTTTAAATTTATATTTTAATGTCATTGAAATATTAAAAATAAAAATTCAATGTTAATTTTGAACTTTTATTTAACGTTAATTTTGTTGAAATAATAATAAAAATTCAAGATAATCAATAACTTAAAATACATCAATCTCACAAGTAAGTTAAAGTCTCATCACAAAGCTACAATAATTCAATATCATAATTCCAAATGAAAGTAAATAACTTAAAATACATAAATCTTATTGATCCAATCAAAGTTAGAAAATTAATCAAATTACATCCAACATAATTCTATAACATGCTTAACACATGTCGGTAACTTCATCAACCTCACTTTTGTAGGAAAATAAGATGAGAGAGTGTAGTTTTAGGATTATGTGGTACAAGGATAATTAGGATATTTAAGAAATAATATTAAACGGGTACCCGCGGGTATGGATATCATCATACCCGCCCCCGCCCCATTTATAAACGGGTAAAAAATTATCCGTCCCCATTATCCGCGGGTACCCAATTAGTCTATCCATTTATTATCCGTAGCGGGTTTTATCCACAGATACCCGCGGGTGCGGGTATTTTTGCCATCCCTAATATTACATGCGATTTGTATTAGTGAGTTTAGCTGGGGATGATTGTAAATTTTTATCAATATTCACTATTTGACCCGCTTTTACATTTTATTCTTGTTGGATTTGGATGTTCTTGGTGTTCCTTAAAAGATAAGAGAGTTCTACAACTTCTCTGCTAGGAGCAAAGGTCATGTTAAATTTTTCAAAAATGCATTGCAAAGTTGTGACCCTGCATAATATTTTCTTTTTATTTTTAGAATGTAATGTTAGGATTTGTTTAATGTTGTAATTAGTTGATTTAGTTGGCTGAGCCTTTAATTTCTTTGATTAGGCTTATTAGTGTAGTTTATAAATAAGTGTAACATATGTACACTTGATAGAGTATACCTCATATTTCAGAAATTGAGTTTCTTTTCTTAAAAGTCTCTCAAAATTCTCTCTCTCTCTCTTTCACACACAAAAATTTTCTCTTTTACTTACACGAATTGAATTGCTACAACATGATTATGATGTGTGGCTAATTTGTTAATTGATTCTAGGTTTCAAGAACTACGGTAAAATTTAAGTTCTTGATCTTTTTACCAAACATATTCTCTATTTCTCTTTTTCTGTATTTTAGGTTTAATTTTCATTTTTCATGATTGTGAATTTCATTTGGATCTAGAACAGAGATTGAAGATTAATTTTATATCTAAATTTAGATTTAAATTTAGACTTGAAATAATCTAAATTGCCTAATTCCACCATTCTCCGTTCTTAAATTTTATTAAAATTGTGAAATTGTGATTACATTTTATGTTTTGATGGAATTCATATATCTAGATTTAGATCTACGTTTTTGATTAAATTTGTGTTGAATTTGATTGATTGAAAATTCAGATTTATTGTTGAACTATGAAAATTTTACTATATGGATTGAAACCTTAGATTGGTACTTCTTCAATTGAATTCTTAATTCTTAATTCTTTGTTTTGTTGATTAAATACTATTTTGAAATATTAAATCCCCTTACTAATTTCGTGTGATAAAACACAAATTAAAAGTGGTTGTATCTTGATGAATAATGATCTAGGTTGTTCCTTATATTACAAATTTTTAGGAGAAATCTAGTTTACTTTTGATAATGACTCGGCAATGCTATCACTCATCCTCGTTTTCATCGGATATCATGTATACTTGTACCCACCCCTTACTTGCTTAGAAATTAATTAAATATTTTAAAAACATATATAAAACTAAGAATTTCAACATAGAGTAACAATTACAAAATTAAATTAGTTAAGTTTCATTTAACATAAATTTAAAATAAAGTAAGAATTACATAAATGTCAAGTAAATTTTTTTTAAAAATAAATCAAGTTTATAGACATTTAAAATTAGTACGAGTACAGATAGGTAAGAATGTACACATCCCTTCCTCGTACCCGATTCAAAAAATTGGATATTACTTGTACTCGTATCTGATCAAACCATGTATTCTCCATCAAAGTCGAGATGAATTTAAGTATTATCTACAAATATGAATTTACTTGTCATCCTTAGTTGGAAGGGAAGGAAGAGGAAGAGAGAAAAATTTTACAAAATTTTCTTTTTTTGTTTAATATTTAGGAGAAGATGGGAGGAAAATCCCTTTTAATCTAATTTTATCTCTCATCCGATATTTGGAAGATTTGGAGAAGAGAGAAGGGGAGGGAGAAATTTTTAAAATATTTTTAATACAATGTCTAAAATATTCGTACTTGTTTTTTAAATTTAGAATTATAAAATTATAATATTAAATTAGATTTTAAAAATCCCCTCCCTTCTCTCCTAGATCAAATAAGAAAAAGTTATCTCTATTCATCTTTCAACCAAACATAATTTCTAATTCTTCTCTCTCCCATTTTTCTCCTCCCCTTTATTAAAATTTCCCCCCTTTCCTTCTTTAAAGCAAATAGACTCTAAAAAAGATATAATAACTTATATCATAAAAAAGATTTTTAAAAATATCTGAAATAGTTTTTAAAGAAATATATTTGTGAACTTTTCTTACGATTTTTAATTAATTTTTTTCTCATTCACTAAGCAAGTTTCTAGTATGGGTTTTAACTATTGAGAACTTTAGATGGCTTTTTATCATGGTCTATATAGATTTGCTGGATACTTAATTGATTCACAATTGTCTTAATTAAGTTAGCAATGAAAAGCTTATATACAACAAAAAAAACAGTAAAGTCTATTTTGAATTTCCAACATGCCATTCTCAATATAGTTATTAGCATACTTAATTGGGAGATTTCCTTTTGTGACTTTTATCGCTTGGTGTATAACTCTCTTTAAGGAAATTTTCATAGGTCTAAGAACTAGTTGAGTTGTTACAATTGAATAGAATTGTTTGCAGTTTGAGTCTGTGTAGCTATTCTCTAGGTGAGCCTCTGGTAAGTGATGACAATCCTAACATGTAATCTTTCCAATAATATTTATTAGAATACAAATAAAATCTCATTTTATTACAAATAAAGATTTATAAATACACATACTCCATTAGTAAGAAATTTTATGAGTGATGGTCAAAAATAAAATCATGAAATTATAAACTTAAAATGAACAATATTCTATCAATATAAAAATGTGTAAATAACCCATGATCAACACAATATCATACTCTTCTTGAGAAAAATATATAGATCTCCCATAAACAAATACCATTTGATTTTATGTGGAGAAACAACACAACACAATTTGCATATTTGATTTTATGTAGAAAATTGATACTAATTAAGTCTAGAATTAATTCACAATTGAAACAACTTTAAGTAGCTTTCACGTTAGTTAAATTTTATAGTTTTATTACTAAATTGTTTTTAATTGTTTTTTTACATAATTGTTTTTAAAATAAAAACACTCAAACAAATCTTAACACTTTAAAATTAATTTTGTCAAACATTCATCCAAACATATACTAGAACTACTAGAATTTATCTAATTACATGCGATTTTTCCTTCAAATTTTTATGAAAAATTTGCAGGAAACGTTGTTCTTACAACTTTTTCTGCAAAATTTTATTTGCAGGCAATACTTTTGTGGATAATATATTTTTGCGAATTTTAAAATTTGCAAGAAATTTTCCTGTGAAAAAAATTTGCAGGAAATTTTCCTACTAAAGAAAAATTTGCAGGGAAGTTTCTTGCAAAAAAAAGTTGAAGAAAAATTCGCAGGAAAGCTTCCTACGAATTTTTTCGCAAGAAATTCTGTAGGAATATTTCTTATGATAATAAATTAAAGAAATTACTATAAATTCTATAAATAATTCTTCAACTTTCAAATGCTCACAATGAATTCATTCGAAACATTTGTTTTCATGCCTCCAACATGTGATATATAATCTTTTAAATTCTAAGATTGTAGATTATAAGCCTAACACTCAACCATACAAATCAACTTGTAAGGTAAGTGTTGTCCCAACTTATATACTCTTTAATTGTTTTATTTTCAATCGATGTGGGACTTGAAGTTTTTTTAAAATATTAAACTTATAAATTTAAATATATTTTTATTTTTCATGCGGACTAAAATGTGCAGGAAAATCTGCAGGAAAAGTTACGTGCAAAATATTTCTACCATTTGGAAAACATTACTTGCGAATTTTTTTTTGCAAAAAAATGTGCAAGAAAAAAAATAAAATTCTTACAATATTTTCTGCAAAATTTTTACCATGAAAAAAAATTTTCTATGATCATTAAAATTGTATCAAAATTTGCAAAAATTTCTTACAAATTATTTTTTGTAAAAAAATTTATAAAAAATATCTGTAAATTATTTTTCGTAAATAAATTCGTAAAATTTTTTTGTGAAATTATTATTGCAAGAAAATTTTTGCGAATATTTTTTTTAGAAAAATTCACAGAAAAATAACACTTTTATGTAATAAAGATATATTATAAATTGAGTTAACAAAAATTCTTATTAAGACTTTCTCTTTGATTTTGGGCGCTCTGGAACCAAATTCTTAACTACGCCCTTGACTAAAATGTATGTATAGGTTAATTATATCAAAAATTTATTGAGCAACATTGGTGTCGTTCAATAAATTATTGTACATTATTACTATTTTCTTTTTTACTATTTAAAATGATAAACAGTTATTTCGTGGTAAGTTAAAATATGCCTGATATACATCAAGGTTGGTCCATGTATCAGAACCTGATGATCCAATAAACCTGAACTAATCTAATTAAAAAAAATATGAGTTAATTCCGACCATCAAATTGGTTTGAATTTGAATTGAAAAAAATATTTTACTAATAATAATAATAACAATAATAATATTAAGTTTGGTTTGGATTAATAAATTTGGACTATTATTAAAGATGGGTGAACCCGTGGACATAATCCAATGGCATGTCACCGTTTTCAATAGATCCAAGGTAGTTCTAGACTCGGTAAGCGACTTGCGAGACTAAACTTTTCTGTTCCTGAATGCAAACTTTGTCTAAGAAAGAAGACATTCTCAATGCTCATCAAAATTCAGAGTTGGCTGTTGCAGCCAAAGGTATGGAGATTAGTGTGTTTCGTTTCATCTATCGTTGGACTTCTGTGTTATGCTCTTAGTTCCTCTTTCAATCATTTATTTGGAAATTGGACATGGTGGAAGATATTTCTTTATATCGTGTTTAGTTTCTTCATCTCCCTTGCCGTCTTACTCGCAAAGGCATGGGAATGCTCCACCTCTCGCTGTCTGAAAGCTCACACAGCTTTTTTGATTTTGTTAGTCACTTCTGTATACTCTTTTTTCTTCGACAAAGAAGTGAAAGGGAAGCCAGATGCATATAATCTAGTCTCGTGTGTTGCCTTTGCTATCATGTCTTTAGGCTTGTCAAGACTGAGTCACTTGGGATTTGAGGTTGATCTCCTTTATTTTTTCAGTGGTGTTCTCACAGTACAACTCATGAAAATAAAACCATGGTTAGTCATAGTTGGAGGGAGTTTCAGTTATTCCCTCATCATTCTTCGTTCCACTTTGAATGCTCTACCAAGAACCGGGTATCTCGGACTCACTGTCCAAGATCAAGTAGTCATTGAAATTGTTTCACTCTCACAAGGAACTAGTGAAACTGCTTCTCAAGCTGATTCACCCCAAGAGGTTGATGCTCCTCCAGAAAATGAGGATCGAGGATTCACAGTGACTCAAGTTGTTTCACGTAATTCACTGCAAGGCATAAGTGAGAGTGATAATAATATTAATATCATGCCACGATTCATAGAATGTATAGAGACACTTAAGAAGGAGAATGGAAAACTTATTGATGCAATTTCCAAGCATGTAGACGGATACCTTAAAACTAACGTGGCGGAAATCCATGCCGACAACAACTTAGTGGTGGATGTGTTGCCGTTGGGAATCATCAAAGACCTTCAAGAAACCGTGTGGTTGATGCTGACAAGAGGGTTTGGAGAGGACTGCTGGAGAGCGTACAGTTCTTGCAGGAGGGAATTCTTGAAGGAGTGTCTATGGGCATTTGGGTTGCAAATGCAAGATCTCAACACGGAGGACATTGACAAGATTGAGAAGGTTCGGTGTTGGTTAACAAAGGCTTTACATGTAGCTGACAATATACTCTTT